TCAAGGTCCTCAGCTGAACTTTTCCTTATCTCTCTTTCCACCTCACTCTCCGACAGCTCCCATCCACACTGCATTGTCCCCTATGGGAAGAGAGCATTCTCACAGCAGCCCCAGTCCTATTCCTTTACCAAGGCTGTCCCCTCCACACAAGTCTCCTCTCTCCCACCCAACCACCAGGCTGCCTCCCAGCATCCTCCATCTCTGCTGTCACTTCTCGGATTGACTCTACACAAAAGACTTGCAGCTGCAGGTCTGGAGCAACCAACCACTGGCAACCTGATGGGCTAAGGGCACAGAAAATGCTCAAGCTTAGCAGGAAAGCAGCGGGGAAAAGCCCTTAATCCAAACCCTGCAGAGGCAGGAGACTGCTCCAGTTCAGCCAAAGATCTGGGACTGCCAAGATACCCACTGCTGCTTGGCCAGCAAACCCAGAGGGGTTTGCAGCAGGATGGCTCAGCCCCCCCAGACTTCTGTAGGGCAGCTCAGGCTGCTACGGCCTGAACTGAAATCTGCTGCCCCTGACAACACAGAGCAGCAAAGCCTGACAGATTGATGTGGTGAGTGGCACGGAGCTAGGGAGACAGGCTAGGTGGTGCTGGGATTTCTGCCACTGCCCAAGGGCCATGAAGTCAGTGCTCATCATGGCAGCTTGACCAACTGACAGCATCCCAGGGCACAATGATCAGCCACATTTAGGAGCACAGTGCCATATTCCTGAGGCCCCTGGGCAGGAATTAGGGCATAAGCAAAGCCAGAGACAGACAGACCTGGTTTAGGCTGACCTAACCCTTGGGCTGGGCTGGCAGTTCAGCTCTGGGGTGCTGGTGAAAGTTCAGATGGAGGGTGCAGGGAGAAGCTGCATTTACTTACTCCTGCTTTGTAAAATCTGCTGCAAAGTTGTCTGGGGATCAGGTATGCTCAAAGAGTGGCACAGCAAACTCCTGCCAGGCACCAGCCACACCACCTACAGCCACGAGAGCTAAATTAGCACTCAAGCACTTGGGCACTTGCACTCACAATGCCTGCAGTGAGCTGCGTGCCGTGCTCCTCATAAACAAGTCATCTGGAAAATAAGTAAGCCTGTAAAAATCCAGTCCATCACAAGTTACCAAACCTGTTTCAGAGTAGAACAACCCAGAGCAGCTCATGCCAGAAGCCTGGCAGTGAAGCTGATACCAAGCTTCCCCACTGGTGGGACTCCCTTGGTCCCAGCAAAACATCCCTGGCACAGATGGCAGCATGGGGATGCCACGCGGGTCTTGGTGGTGGCCAAAGCTGGCAAAGAACCAGAGTTTCTGGTACAGACTTGAGATCCATCTCTCCCTATGCTCCTATCAAGCATTCACCTTTCCTCATTCTCATAATATAGAAAGCATGTGAGTTGGCCTTATGTGGGGGGCTGCCAAGAAAGAAAGCCCAAACCCACTGAGTTGCAGTTGGACTCAATGGCGCAGTCCCTGTCCCCTGGATTTGCTGAACATACACTGCTCCATGGACAGTGTTGGATGCTGTTCCCACACACCTGCAGGAGGATTCACAATGTTTTCCTCCAGGTCTCAGTACCACAATGCATTTTCTCCCACTTAATGTTCAAAGCCACCAGAGATCTTCATAATGTGAAAGGATTTCTAAGAAGTTAGGTTACAGGGAAAAATCTATTTCCTCCTCCCTAAACAAAACAGAAGCAGAGCCTCTCTACCCAAGCCGTTTTCCACTGGTGGCACCTCTAGCTGAGGACAGGCTGCTGGGAAACTTCTGAGCAAGTTCGGATGTACCTGGCCTCAATCAACCATGTCCCACACAAAGACAGGGCAACCACAGGGTAATACCCCGCACGTGAGACTCTTTCTCTGATTGCCGACTTCTTACCTATTCTCCAATCCCAGCAATGTAGTTTCCCCTTTTTGGATGGAGAAAAAATAAAAAGCAACACATCAAGCTTGCACTGGAGCAACTTTCTTTTTCAGCCTTAGAAGCAGGTTCCCCCATGCAGGTGGGAGGCACAAGGAGCAGCAAAGGCAAAGATGGAAGAAAACATGTTTCATTTTGAGACCTTGACACAAACAAAATGAAAAAAAATAAAGCAGAAAAAAAAGAAAAAAAAAACAAAAAAAAGAAAAGAGGGTGCCTTGTTGGCTTTTCTTCCCCCCCTCTCCTCTTTAAGCGCTACAAAAACAGGAAACAAAGGAGAAAACATCTCACGGGGGGAAGGGGAGGTAAGCGCTTTATACGCCCACGAAAGAAAGATTAACCACATATTTTATTTACTGTTTGTATTACAGTTGCACCGTGGAGTTCAACTAATTCTGAGCCAGGGCTCTGTGGGTTTGTGCGGCACCTAACGCTGAGTGGGGTCCTTCCCCCAAACTCACCAGGCACATGTTCCTCTTCAGGCAAGCCCTGCACAGACACCCCCTTTCCTCTGGCAGACACCCACCTCCAGCCTCCTTCACCCAGCCAGAGCACTTCTGCCCCAACTGCCAGCTCAGCTGACAAAGTGCTGGTGCTATCCCCAAGGAGTTTTGATCCCCTTTTCCCCTTCAAACTGGTCTGTAACCAGAAGTAAGGTGCCCTTCGAGGCGGGTTGGCAGCACAGCCAGAGGGACAAATGCTAAAGAAGCAGAGTTTATGGGGAGCGTGTTTGCAGGCTCCGGTCCCTCCTCCGGGCCATGGGGGCCAACCCCCTCTACAGGAGTCGATGTTGCAACCCCCACACTTGCGAGTGCCCCGCACCAAGGTCAGGGCTCCGATCCTCCCAACTTTGACTCATTTCTCAATTAACGGCCTTCTGAACACAAACCACATATGGAACAAACCTCTCACAATGGGGCCTCCCCCGGACCTCCCAAGCCCAGCGTTACTCATCTGCCCCCCAGTCCCAGTCCATCTTTCCTGGGATGCTCCAAGAGCGGCTCACCGCCGCTGCAGGGTGAGCAAGCAGCCAGGAATCCCGGGCCCGGCTCCCGCAGGCGGGAAGTCGTCACCAGCTGAGCTCATGCACCCTAATTTGGGAGCCGACGAGGCCACCTTCCTTGCTGGCTGGCGACGGGCTGCTTTCAGCCGGAGACCCAGCCATGCCCATGGAGCAAGGACTGGCAACCTGCTGGCTGCTTTTCCCAGGGCCTCACCCCTACCGCAGCCACTTCATGGAAGAACTGCTTCAACTATAGGGGGGATCCTTTGGGCACACTGTCCCCCAGCTTGGTGCTGTCCTTCATTGACCCAGACTCCGTGCACCCAACCGAGCCACGCGCCCAGCGGGAAGAGACAAGCTTATCATCACAGAGAAAGGAAATTAAAATAACGCGGCGATGGAGGTACCGAGGGATTTGGCCAAGGTCACAAAATAATTCCGTGGCTCTACGATACAGCCATCTAATGCTTTTGGTGTCTAGCCACATATCCTAAAATTTTAAGCCAGGGCCAAAATCCAGCCTAGCCGGTGGCAGATTTCTGCCAGGTCATTAGCAGCGTGCATCCGCAAGAAGCGGCGAACATCCAGCCATAACAACGGCAGCAACAACAAAAAAAACACGCAGCAAGAGCGGGAATAAATGAGATCAAAGTGTCCTGGAAAAGGACCTGGAAAAATAGTTTTGGTCCCTGGCGAAGGCTCCTGGGAGATGCACATGTGAGCCCCATCCCAGCCCTGCACAGCCCTCCTGAGGTGGCTCCCCACCCTGGCAGAGGGAAACCAAAATGACTCCCTATAAATAGAAGCAGAAAAGCGCTTCTCCAAAAGACTGACTGGGTCTTTCCCCTTCCAGCGTGTGTGGCGGAGCTGCTGGCACCTCCATGGAGGTCTCTGGTTTTCCCCCCCAAAAACCTGGAGAGGAAAATAACCTTCCTATGAGCTCAGGCTGGCTCTTCTCTACACAGAGCTGCACCCCCCCACCCCCACCCCACTCCCAGGCCTGGCCATCCAATTGGAAAGTAATTATACTGCAATTTTTATTTATGACTTCTTTTTTTTTTTTTTATTGCTAAATGGTGACTCATTTTGGCAACATTAAAATACACAGGAAATCATCCCCATTTTACAGTAATCACCATTCAATTCATTGTTAAATATTTATTCGGCAGACAAGCGCCGAGCCTCTTTCAAAGGGTTGGAGGGGGAGCGGAGGGGCAGCCCTGAAAACAGGGAAGGTGGTAGAAGGGTCATGGCAGGGCTGGCCGCAGGGCTGGTAAATGCCCGCCAGGAACTGGAGGGTGGGGAGCCAGGGGTGAAAGCTCCTGCCAGATGGCCTGGCCAAGGGCAAAATACAGACCCGCTTTCCCTCGAATCCAGCACAACAGCCCAAGCTGCTCTAGGGAGAGGAGCAGCCCTGTGCCCTCTAATAAAAATCACATTATTTGGCCAAACCCCAAGACTGAATCCCCACCAGTGAGACGTCACAGGTCTCTGACACGTCATGGGTCTCTCTGACACGAAGCTCTTCCATTGCTGGGGGGAAGAGGATGGCCCACTGGCCCCAGTGGGAGGCAGTGGGAAGAGCAGGCAGTTTGACATTCACAGGCCTCACAATGGACAGGGTCCGCTCCTGCAGCCGCTTTGTCCTCCCAGGAAGCCAAATTTTGGGGTGATTCGACCTCAGAGACAGGCAGCTCTTCTGCTTTCCTCCAAACAGCTGCATAGCCCACCACAAACCTGGCAGACGGCCCCTCCAAACGGCCCTGGCCCAAGACCTTAACCCTTCCCTGCAGAGCGCACACCCAAGGCGCCGTGTGTCCCACAGCCCGACAGCTACAAAGGCTCCCCGGCACGGACACCTTCCCCGGGGAGCCCCCCGGCACCCACGGGCTCCCCGTCACGGCTTGGCTGGGAGGCCACCCAACATGTCTGCCACGGGGGCACCCCGGGCGGAAGGAGCAGCAGCGCCGGGATGGATTTTGTGTAGGTCCTACACAAACACGGGGGAACAGACACGGCAGGGAAGAGGGTGTCTGGGCGGTCCCCAGGCTGGGCAAACCCGGGTGTCCAGGATGGTCGGACTCACCCGGATCTCATTGCGGCGGATCTCCACGTCGCAGACCGAGTGTCCCTGGTGGGCCCCGCTGTAGTAGCAGCAGAACTGGCAGACGGCCACCTGCTCGGCCTCGCAGTGGTACAGGCGGTAGGCGTTGTGCTGGGGGCAGCTCCAGGCCCGCACGTCCTCCGCCTCCACCAGGAGATGCCCCCGCGCCGTGGAGGGCTGCTGCAGGTGGGTCTGGACGTGGGACTGGCAGCACGGAGCCTCGCACCTCAGACAGATCTTCTGGGCAGGCAGCGGCGGGCCCCGGCGGCAGAAGACGCAGTGCAGGACTGAGGGGGGCTTCTCCAGGTTGAGGGAGTTGAACTTCTCCACGATGTTGGTGAGCTTCAGGTTCTTCTCCAGGTTGGGCTTCTGGTTGTAGGCCTGGTTGCACTCCGGGCACCGCACCAAGCCCGACTCCTTGGCCCACGCCTCCCCGATGCAGCCCCGGCAGAAGTTGTGCTTGCAGGGCAGCTGGACCGGCTCCACAAAGACGTGAAGGCAAATGGGGCAGATGAGCTCCTCTTCGAAGCAGTTCTTCCAATTCTCGGCCATCTCTGCCGGCAGCTCTGTCGACGCTTCCCCCCAGCCGCTCGGGTCGCTCAGTGCGGTCTAGGGGCGGGTGCCGGGGTCTGTCCTCCCTGGAAGGGGAAGGCTGAGGGTGAAGGGACGGGCTCCCCCCTCCCCGCAGCACGCGCCATAAATAATAAACCGCAGCAGATTTTAAAATCGGGGATAAAATAAACCACAGAGCAGCACTCTAGGAATATCCGGCAAAAAAAAAATGCAACGTCCCCATCGCTTTGTTAAAAAAACAACACAAATGGTTAAAAAAACCCCAACACGATCCCGTTGGACTTACAGCCCAAAGTCCTAACCACCCCTAAAAGCCATTTGCTCCTTTTTACCCCAGAAGGTGAACTGAAACTTACCAAAGGTTGAAAAAAATCCATACAAAATCCAGCAGCAGAGTCCAAGTTCCATAAAGCTCCTAAATTTAGCGCTCCGGATCAGATTTTTCTTTTCTTAGGTTTGCAACTGACATTCAATATTTTAAAGGGACTTTTGTCCCCCACCAAACCTGGCCAACAGCTGAGGGCAGCGACTCGCTCGGGCTTTTTTTTTTTTCCTTCCCTGTATTTCTCCTCCCTCTCCCCCTGATGGGAGTTGGGAATCAGAGTCTTTTAAAGGAAACAGATCAAAGGGTTAAGATCCAAAACGGGAAAAAGGAAGATTAAAAAAAATAATAATAATAGCGACGGTGACGATGGCAGAAAAACGAATTCTCTCTGCGGCCCCCGAGATTTGCTTCTAAATCGGAGGAGCAGCAGGGAAAAAGAAGGAAGAGGGGAAAAAAGACAAGACAGGGAGGGGAAAAAAAAAAAAAGAAAAAAAAGAAAAAAAAGCCCTCTCGCCTGCTTCGAGATTGCGAGGTCTTGAATGGGAGAGCTCGGTCATTCAGAGCAAACCCCAGCCCAGCACAGCCCGCCCAGCTCCTCCAACGCTGCCGGAGAGGGATGGGAGAGGGGACGGGCTTTGGCACGGGGGATTCTGAGCCCCGCGGACCCCAAATCAACCTGCTCCCACTTCCCACCAGGGCTGGGGGGAAAAAGGCGCCCGGGGGGTCCGTCCTAGCCCGCTCTCATGGCCGGTCCGGGGGTCGCGAGCCCCCGACGGTAACAATGCTGTGGGGCGCACGGACGGTGCCCGAG